TGCTGCCCCACTTGGCGGGGCCTGACCCCCCAGGAGGACACCCCCCCCAGCAACAGGCGCAGGGGTGAGGAAGAGGCGGCCCCCAAGGGGTGCCAGGCTGGCTGTGGGGCCGACCTGTGCCAGCCCAGAGCACAGCTCAGACCCAAGTTTGGGACCTGAGAGACTTGGGTGGCCTGAGGGCCAGGGGGACGCCGGGAGAGGCCAGGGTGCTAGCACTGCCCAAGCAGTTCGGGTGAGCCCAGGGCCTCCCTGCTTACCCCGGACAGCAAGCAGCCCGCCCACGCTGCTGCCCCCTGCTCACGGCATGGCCTGGCCAGCTGCCCCCACCGCAGCCAGGGCAGGCTGCGCCTAGCACCCCAAGCCGGGGAGCAGAGCCCGAGGCCCTGCATTCACCACCCCCAGCCTCCAGGGTCTTGGTGCAGGAGGGAGAAATCCTCGGCACCCTCCGAGGGCTCCTGGTGCTGCCCAGCTCGTCTTCACACCCCTCCCCGGGGCTCTGAGGACCCAGCTGAGCCCCACCACAGAGATGCACCCGGTCAGCACAGGGGTTTCATGGTGTTTATTGATCAAGCATGAGCTCCTAGGCAATTGCACCAGCCAGTTGTGCTAGAGCCTGAGGTGTCACACGTCCATCCCCAGCATCAGAGAGGGCTGCAGCCAGCTGGTCACGGTGCCAGCCCCTCCACGAGGCCCAGGAACAGGCCCAGCCATGGCCTGGAGACGGGGAGCTGGAAACTCAGATGTCCATCTCAAACTGGTCTTGATCTGCAAGGGTACGGAGGGATACAGAGCCAGGGTTAGGATGGGGCTGCCGTGGGAGAAACACGCAGGCAAAGTGGGTGGGAGCTGGAACCGGGATCTCGCCCCGGGCCCGTGGCCAGGCAGGAGCCCCGTGCCGCCCGTAGGCAGGGGCTGCTCGCCTGGGCTGCTCACCTGGCATGGCTTCTTCGCTCTCATTCCGCTCCTTGGGCTCCTCCAGCTTGACGAGGCTGGACTGGGCCAGGGATGTGACACCGAGGATCTGGGGCAGGCAGCAGGGAGGGGTCCTGGCCACGGGTGAATTCTTGCACTCCAGCAGGAACTTGCGGTCGTAGATGATGCGGGTACCTGCCAAAAGCAGGGG